AAAAAACAAAACTTTTCCCCAGGTCACTAGGAGATTTGCACACTTACTACTGCTTCTATTATTTTTGGTTAGCCACTGAGTCATGTCTGACTCTATGCTACCCCATGGTACCCTGCCAGGCTCCTCTGTCCGTGGGATTTTCCAAGCAAGAATACTCAAGTGGGTGCCATTCTCTTCTCCAGGGGAATTCCTGACCCAGGGATCGAACTTGGGTCTCCTGCATTGGCAGGTGGATTCTTTACCACTGAGCCTCCAGGGAAGCCGTATAGTACAGGTTGCACTAGTGGTAAAGAACCCACCTGACAATGCAGGAGACGTCAGAGACACAGGTTTGATCCCCGGGTGGGGAAGATCCCCTGGAGGGGAAGATCCCCTGCAGTGGCAATCCACTCCAGGATTCTTGCCTGGAGAATCCCAGGGACAGAGGAGCCTGGTGGGCTCCAATCCATAGGGTTGCAAGGCGTAGGGTATGACTGAGCAACCAGCACAACAGACCCTCCCAGAGTTTGCACTTCCCGGGGTTCCTCAGCTAGATACTGGGACACTGCTGGGGCTCTGAGTCACGAGGCACGCATGAAGCGGTGGGTACGCACACTGGTCTGTTCCAGGGGTTGGTGAGTCACTACCTACAGGCCCAGCTAATGCAACCTGTCTTTGTAAATACAGTTCTACCCATTTGTTTATTCACTCTACAGCAACTTAGTTTTGATAGAGACCATATGGCCTGAAAGCCTAAAATATTTACTAATTGGCTTTTTATAAACCATGTTTGCTGCCCTCTGGCTGCTTGAGAACTGGGCAGTTCTGGTCCTGCCTTCGCCAAAGACTAGCTGTGATATGTAGGGTGTCACATAACTGCTTTGTGGGAAGAGAGAGTGAGGTTAATGCTTTTCAGGTCTTAAAAACAAAAACTATAAAACAGCGGTAGGAAAGTCCAAATGGCAAATGGTAGTGGCAAAAGTCCAGTGGCAAATGGTAGGGCTGGGATTCAAAAGCAGGGAGTCTAGGTGGTTCAGTGGCTAAGACTCCCTTACTCCCAATGCAGGGGGCGTGAGTTCAATCCCTGGTCAGGGAACTAGATACCACATGTGCAACTAAGAGGTTGCATGTGCAATTAAAGGTCCTGTACCCCACGGTGAAGGTCAAAGATCTTGAGTGCTGCAACTAAGACCCAGTGCAGCTGTTAAACAAAAAATGGCATCACTAGAGTTGGTTTCTGGTGCTGCACCTCTTCAAGCAAAAACAAAAGCAAACAAAAGCAGGCAGCCTCACCCTAGAATCTTTGCTTCTCCCTCCTGCCCCATGATCCTACCTGGAAGCTGGGTCACGATGCTCCCAGAACCTGCAATGCTGTGATGGAATCAGAGCCTAGGAGAAGACCTTTTTCAAGAGACAGGCTGGGGAAATCCACCTCTGGGTGGGCATGCAATGAACCTGGACAGTGGTTCTCCCAGTGTGGCCCCTGGATTTGCAGCATCACCCGGGAACTTGTTAGAGACGCATATTTTCAGGCCCTGCCCCAGCCTCCTGAATCAGAAACTCTGGGGAAGGCCCAGCTTTGTGTGTTTCAATGACCAAGAGTATTCTTATATAAGCTCCAGTTGTAGAACCAGTGAACAAGGGGAAAGGCTAAGGACAGAGCCTTGACATGAATGTGGAGGGCAGCATATGGCCACCCTGGGCCCAAAGGCCTCACATGTAGACAGCATGAGGGCGCTGGGCATCTTCCTGTTTAGGAGGAAGTCCAAGTTCTGAAATAGTATGCAGCCCTCAATGGAGGTGTCTGTGATCACTCTTGGAGAGGTCCTACTTGATTTCTGCCCCTGGTTCCCCACTGATCTCTGCTGGGTGCTAAAGTGTGGCTCTTCCAGCATCACGTAAGATAGCAATCTTTGATCCAGAGGAGCTTAGTCCAGCTGCAGCCATGCCACCCTGGCAATTTCTTAATACGGCTGACATTTCCCTCTGTCTCCTCAGATTAAGCCACTGCTTTATCAAGCTGTGCTTTCCTAGCTCCGGGTGTAATCTGCGTGTTGTGTGTCCATAATACTATGTAATTGACTCTAATGCAGCAATATTATCTGCAAGCATGTACCACATAATTGCAGGATCAGGCATCCACAGTAAGCACCAAGCTTTCTGGGGTGCTCCTGGAACCCCTCCTCTTCCCCTCTGCACAGGTGATCCAGACTCCTAGAGTCAGACAGACCCTCTTGGTAGCTTTGTTCATTCATCTCCTGTCTCGGGGCAGGTTGACTTCTTAAGTCTAGATAAAGAAGGTGGCTCCTGCCTCAAGGAAGGGCTTCTCTGGCGGCTCAGCAGTAAAGAATCCAGCTGCAATGCAGGAGCTGCAGGAGACTTGGGTTTGGAAGATCCCCTGGAGGAGGGCATGGCAACCAACTCCAGTATTCTTGCTGGAGAATCTAGGGACAGAGGCGCCTGGTGGGCTAGAGTCCACAGGGTCGTAACGAGTCAGACAACTGAAGTGACTTGGTATCCATGCAGGCACTCCTTCAGGATCCCTAGGAAGAAGGATTTCGGTGGGCCAGCAGCAGCCGTAACTATGGCCACAGGGCGTCTTTTTAAAGTGACCCTTGAGATGCCCTGACTCGTACTTACCGATGTGGGAGCCCAGCAGCCAGCACTCTAAGCCCGGAAGATGTAACTACTACTCACAGGGCCTACACTGAACTCACAGGGGCAGGCACAAGCAGGCCCAATCATTTCCTAAAGAGCAGCTGAGTGCAAACATTGTGGCAGGACCCTGTGCAGAAACATCTGAACAGCTGTCACGGGGCATGAAGAGCACAGAGGGGCTCCAGTAGCACGTGGGCCACAAAAGGAGGGGCTGGGGGGCTCACATCTTCCTCTCCTCTTTCTGGAGAGGCAAGGAGAGAGGGATGAAACTGAGGCCGCTTTAGATCCTCCACGTGTCTGCTCTCCTCTTTGGTTCACATGTCAAAGCGGGACTGGCTCGTCCTGGTCTGGCTTGGTGGGTGTTGACTGAGCCATTATGGCACCAGGAATCAATCATAGTACCTACTGCTGATGACGAGGCCCTGCCACAGGCTCCTGGGTCCTGGGTGTGAGAAGTGCTGGCTAGCTCAGCCCATCAGCATGCGTGCAGGAGGCACTCTATGAACGTGGCCCTGGGGGAGCACACACTGGGCCTACAGAGGTTGACAGAGGCATTCCCAAGCCTCTGCCCCCAGCCTAGGGTCCCCCTCCAACTGCACTGACTCAATCATTTTGTTTGTTTCTTTGTTTTCAGTTTGATTTTTATTTGTTTTTTGGGCTGTGTCACATGGCATGTGTGATCTCTGTTCCATGACTAGGGATTGAGCCCAAGTCCCCCGTATTGGAAGCACAGAGTCTTCACCACCAGGCCACCAGGAAAGTCCCAGGCTCAGTCATTTTTGAATGAAGCTCCTTAACTGTTTTCCTCCTATCAAGTCTGAACTCGACTTTCTCCCCCAGCTAGCCACTGCTCTGATTTGGCTGGAGGCTCTGGGAAATTCCAGAAATCAAGAAGAATATTATAAAATAACACATCATTTGAGAAATCTAAATTGATGTTACAGGTTCTCCCCTGAACGTTCTGCTTTCCTCCAATGAGCTGGACTAGTAAGGGATATTGCTTTGAGGTAAGCTTACAAAGATCTTTCAATAAAGATGTCCATAATAACAACAATACTGATGTTACTGATCATGTTTCTGCTATGTGCACATATTATCTCATTTAGTTCTCCCAACAATCTGAGATACTCTTGCCATTTCCATTTTGGATCCCCAAAAGATCAATGAACTCTGCCCGATCATGTAAGTATGGAGTTGTGGAGCCAATATTCAAATCCAGGAAAGTGTCACACCAGACCAGACTGTATTTTTCATCATTACACAAAACTGCCTCTTACAGGATTGTCTTTGACAGACATCAGCCATCCAATTTCCCCTGCTAGGTTCTCCCCTGAACGTTCTGCTTTCCTCCAATGAGCTGGACTAGTAAGGGATATTGCTTTGAGGTAAGCTTACAAAGATCTTTCAATAAAGATGTCCATAATAACAACAATACTGATGTTACTGATCATGTTTCTGCTATGTGCACATATTATCTCATTTAATTCTCCCAACAATCTGAGATACTCTTGCCATTTCCATTTTGGATCCCCAAAAGATCAATGAACTCTGCCCGATCATGTAAGTATGGAGTTGTGGAGCCAATATTCAAATCCATGAAAGTGTCACACCAGACCAGACTGTATTTTTCATCATTACACAAAACTGCCTCTTACAGGATTGTCTTTGACAGACATCAGCCATCCAATTTCCCCTGCTGTCCGGAGGAGGAGATGAATCGCACGTGTTAGTGGTAAACTCAGTCCTTCCTGGCCTCAATGTGGCAGGGACCCTGGTGTTTGACTTGCTGTCGAGTCTGCTCATAGCAACAGCATCGCCTAACCCTCCTCTGGTCCAAGGAAGACAGAGTGTGTGTGTGTGTGCATGCATGCTAAGTTGCTTCAGTTGTGTCTGATTCTTTGTGATCCTATGGACCATACCTTGCCAGGCTCCTCTGTCCATGGGATTCTCCAGGCAAGAATACTGCAGTGGGTTGCATTTTCTTCTCCAGGGGATCTTTCCCACCCAGGGATCAAACCTGTGTCTCCTGTGTTGGCAGGTGTGTTCTTTACCACTAAAGCCACTTGGGAAGCCCAGAGGTTACAGAGAAGAGAGGAGAATCATGGCTCAACACCTTCCAAGGCTCAGGCTTGGCTGACAAGTCTAAGTGTTGTCAAAAGTCACCCTGACTGTTGGATTGGCTGATAGAGATTTTTCAGAGCACCCTGAAGAACCAAGAGTCCAGTCCTGCTCCTTGAGCCAAGTTCATCCTTGGTCTGCTAGGAGCAGACAATGAGTCTCTGAGGGCAGGTGGGGCAGGAGGAATGAGAGATGGAGGGAGAGAGAAGAGGGATGAGGGTGAGAAGCTATCTTGCTTATGGTACCTGCTCTCCTGGAATATCCTGGGTGCTGCCTATTACTGACTTCCTTCATCTCCCTGCGGACCGTTTAAATTAAAGCTCATAACCATTGTGTGGGCATATAATGAAAACAACTGATGCTGCACTGATTAGTCCATTACTCTCAACTGTTAGAAAACATAATGACCTCACAAGGGGCCTTATTCACTGACGTATAGCAGTCGGGCTCTCATTTGACACCTCAAATTAGCAGCCAAAGCAATAACAGCTGGGGTTTTGTCTCAATATTTGTACCCAACTCTAAAGTGATTTGGCACCGGGTGAGCATTATTTTTAAACACAGAGCTCTCACCGCCAAGTAACATTTTAAATGGTCTCCAGGTGTCATGTAAAACCTACAAAAATAAATAAAAACAATCAGCTTCCAATTAGGGCTTTTGATGATAGGGGTTCCTTAACAAAAGGGCTTGTCTTTGGTTCTGGCTTCATTATATATTCATGTTATGACAGCAGAAACTCATCTCCTTCTACCCAGCGGAGCCTCAGTGTTAAAAGGAAGAAAAAGATGCCAGTAAAATAAATAGAAAAAGTGGAGAGCGAAAGAGAAAGATAAATCTTTGAATCCTACCACTGCTCAATCAGATGCTGGTGGTATAAGTAAACAGGATGCTCCAATGCTTTTGGTCCCTGAATTCTGAAGAACTCCTTACTCATTTACTGAGATCACCATGGATCCTGCCTAGTGGTGATGCAGAATGATTCAACTGCCTCCCAGTGACCTACTGAATTGTAAAATGTACCTTAAACGACAATGTGAATGAGATGGCCTTAGTCCCCTAATTCTATTTCATCATCTATAAACTGGGAACCTGGACCATTAATCTTGTCTACTACATTATTTAGAAATGCCGCAGTTTCCAGTGTGCAAGATGTCTGTGGGGGTGAAGAAATGACCTCCAACTTACATCACTGGACAGGTGAGTTTGTAGCTGAGAAGGAGAGCAACAGACAATTCCACCTCAGCTGCATTAGAGCCAGGAAGAGGAAGAAGGAGCAAGTTCTTAAATACCTGTGAATGTGAACGCTAAGAGACATGCACACTGGGAGAAAGCAGAGGACGCATCTGGTGTACCCCTCCCGCCTGCTCCCCACCCCACCCCTGGCGTTGTGTACGCAGGACCTAGCTCTGTGTTTGGCACGAAGAAGGGCTCAAGTATTTACTGAAGGAATGGATGAGTTTCCAACTGCACAGGATCATGCTTTTGGCATCTTTTGATAAAAAAATAAATCTCCACTCTAAACAGCCTTCTGGGCTGATCCCAGAGTACAAAGTTAATTGCCTACAGGAGCAAGGCTTGCCATCGGAGGAAGGGGACTGTACGGGACCGTGGTAAGCACAACTTTTCTACCCAGGGCCGTCACTTCTCATTTCCAAGGACTGCTGCCATGCTGGAAAGTGGGTGCAGCACTGCCAGTTTTTTTCCTTTTGTTAAAGAGAAAGTCAGACATCTAGAATTTTTATATGAAATCTCCTTATTCCTTGGTCCATGTTGATGACTAAATCTCCTCAAGGAACAAAAGTCACAAATGAAACATACCTGGGGGCTGGGTTTGGCTTGCAGGGGCCAGTTTTCAGGCTCTGAACCAAACAGATTACTTCAACAATTTGAATCAAACATATATATTTAACACCTAAAGATCACATATGGGCTATATGTATCAACCAATCTATCAATGTATTTTAACAGCATCATGGTACTGTGTGGTTAAAGCCTTTTTCCTACACTGCACTTCCTGTAGGGCAGTCACTAGCTAAGACACACTCCAGGAACCTACTATTCAAACCAACTATCCTTAAATGGTTGAAAATTATTCTATGCTCCCCCTCCACCCACCACTATCCTCACTGAGGATAATTTACACTTTGAGCTCTTTGGGCTCAAAGATGGGCAGGGGTCACTGATGCTAACTCACAGGGCCCTGGGCACCCCTGCCAGCTGGGATCAATGATGCAGAATTTGATGTCTTCCCAGGCTGCCCTCTGACTGGGGTGGTCATCTCCCAAGCAGTGGCTGTAGGACTGGAAGGCTCTAGCAAGGGAGGGTGTGGTCCCCATGTTGAAGGTAAAATGTTCCCTCTGGCAAAATGCTGGAGATTAAAAGATGATGGGATGGACAGGACATATTGGCTGGCTCCACTAATTTTTGTTTCCTGCCTGCTAAGATAGAGAAAGGGCTTCTTGGATAGACGGCGACATACTGCACGAGATAAGAGTCAACAGACCCATTTTCTGGCCTGGGTCTTCTGTGAAATTTTCTCACGGCTGTGGGCAAGTCACTTAACCATTCTGGGGGTGGTTATTTTTCTCCCCCTCTTCAAATGAAGTGGTAGGACCAGCTGACTCCAGAGTCTTTGGAGCCTGCAGTTCCACTCTCTGATTTACTTCGGCTGATTCTGGGTCTACAATGGTATTTCTGCAATGGGAATAGATTTCTAGAAGGCAGTGGGAAGGACTGTGGATGCCCAGAACTGTCCAGATCTGCCTAGAGACAGGACATCTGGCCAAACTCTGAAAGTCACAGCCAGCTGCCACTATGTAGCATTTGAAAACATATAGTTGCATGGCTTGGGGCCCAGGTGTTGGTTCCTTTTCTCTCTCTCTCTATGCAGATACCAGGCTCAACTTTTGCAGGCTTGCCAGTCACAGCTCCACTTATGTATGGAGCAGGGATGGGTCTAGACATGGGAGTGATTTTCCTATCCATTGACTTTGTGGAAGTCACTTGCAGAGTGGAGAGAAGAGAATAATTGGGATCCAGGAACTAATTTACGCAGAGAGGGTTTTGCTTTGGTGGGAGTCAGTTTTCATAACCATACTCTTGGGTTTCAGTGAAAATGGGTCTTTTGGGGGTATGAGATCCAGATGTTTAAAGTAAGAACCAGCAAGGGCAGAGTGGGGGGGAGTGGGGGAAGAGGGAAGTGGTAGATATTTCAAAGTATCTAGCTTTGAAGTGACTTAGCAGCAGCAGCAGCTTCAGAAAATATACTGTTTAACCATTCTGCTTATTAATGGATGTGAACTGGCTCCAGGGGTTTGGAGTCAGGCAGGCAGGAAAGCTTTCATGGTGGGAGCTGTGGAGATCTGCAGAGGGCATGCCCTGTCCAAATGCAGTCCTTGCCTCTCAGCTTCAAACCTGCATTCTTCAATAAGGAGGCCACAAGCTAAATTTGGCAATTTAAAGCCAAGCGAGGCTAAACACTGAGCTTCTCAGTTGTACTAGCACATTGCAAGTGCTCAAGAGTCACATGTGGCTAGTGGCTACCTACAGGACAGTTCAGATATGGAGCAGTTCTCTCATCACACAGAGTCCTTTATGGGACAACGCTGCTTCAGACCATCACAGCCGCATGTCCACCCAGGGTGGCCACAGCTTCTAAATATTCAAGGAAATTGGAATCATTTCAATAAAATTACCTAAGATGTAAGTGTTGGGAACTAATTCCATTTTTCTTTAAACATCGGAAAGACCAAAAAAATGCAAAAACAAGAAGAAACCTCATTAGCAGGTCTGATTCAACCAGTGAATAAAATAGAGCTGATAGGTGGGATCCTTAAAAGAGAATGGGTACTCCAGAACTTTTCTACAGTGAATCCAAATCTGGCCTCAGAGAAACAGGACCATTATTCCCTCCATCCCCATTCCTCACCATTCCTTGCTCTTAAGTGCCTTCAAAAATAGGAAACAAAAGCTCAGGAAAAGGTATAAACTGAGAGAGAGCTCTGGTTCTCTACTACTCTGTGTCCTTGTCTTCCCCATGCCCTCCTCCCCTCCATAAACTGACAGGAGGGATCAGTTTCCTGCTTGGCTCTTAGAAACCAGTTCTGTTGAGTAACAGACCCTCAGCCATAGGGAAGCCAAGCCATCCAATATTTCACACCCTGGGTGGAAGTGGCAGCATCAGTCATAGGCAAGTTCAACTCTACAAGGGGACTCAAAAGCTGATAAGGGGAAAGGTACTAAAGATGCTCAAACACTGGTACCGAAGCCACTGTTGGCAGCTGGGGCACGGAGGAAGCTCAGAGTCTGAACATCTGCAAGGGAGCACCTTTTCAAGACAGCAGCGAAGCTCTGTTTGGGGAGAGAACTGACTCCTAAGTGTGTTTGGCAGCTCTGAGGCATTCCCCCACCAGCCTCTTGCTGCTGAGAGAAAACCCTCTGGCATCTTTTTTCAAAAATGCAAAGGTGTTTTCCCATTTTGTTTTAGATGGGACAAAGCAAACCAAAAGGCTGCTCCCAAACTTAGTTTGCAGAGCAGAATTTCAGCTCCAAGTGGCTGAAATTATACAGGGCCACTGAGGCTCTCCTCACTCCCCGAGGACAGTGAGGCTTCCATTACCCGATTCCACTGAAGTGCTGCTCACAGGAGATGCTGACAATGGGAGTCCTGCTGACTCAAGAACCTCCGTGGGTAAAGAACAGCTCAATGATCTTCACTATAGACTCTTAACTCAGGAACGAACACCATGACATTTTAAATTCAGACACTAGACTAGCCTTTAGTGAACAGGAAAATGAAGTAAAGTGGAAACCATAAGAACTCCTCAGATTCCAGTTACTTGGACTGTTAAAGTGCTGTTTATTTAAACAGAAAAGATTATCTTTACATTTCAAAGAAAGGGTCACTTTTTCCTTAGGCTTATGTTCTCAAAACCAAGCTTGTCATTTTAAGAGCTTGACTATGATCCAGGTCCCAGGCTGGGTGAAGTGCATTTACGGGAAACCCAGTTCCCTTCCTAGTACCCTGGAGGTTGAATGGAAGTTACCGATGTTTTCAACACGGTACGATTTTAATCCTGAATGCCTCCACAAATCACAATTTGCAGCACAATACCAAAAAATCATATTTTGGAGATATTTTAAGACTTTCATTAAGTGATGACAGTTCTATATTCAAAGCTATGTCATGACTAAACACCCTGGTTCCTAAGGCTGTTGAAACAAATGTTTGCAGCTCCCAGAGAAACCCAGGTGAAATAGTTT